TGTTTTTTTTAAACCTCCCCCCCCCCCCCCCCGCCCCAGTCTTGGCAGGGTTTCAGGTAGTGCCAGAAGCAGGTATTGATTCTGAGATCAGTAGGTTGTAAGCAAGTCGAGTTGAAGTAGCACAATGTTGACATCATAACCCAGTTTTTGTAGTGAGCTGGGGAGGTGTCAGTGATATGTTTTTAGGAAAGAGCGTTGTGCATCTTGCAGTCATCCCCCTAGCCATACTTTCCTATCTAACTTTCCCTTCTTATTTACTACCAATCCTGTTAACTTACCTATTGATTTCATACTGTGTATTTCAATAGCAGATGTCCCTCTATCCTGACCTGTGGTGCCTTACCATTCTTGCCTTTCAACTTAGGCAGCATACCAGTCTTGCGACCCCTCTTATGTTTGCTGCTTTGAATTAAAGAATTTGCCTATATGGAAGTAAAAACAGAATAATTGTGAAGTTCCTTGGATATTATCCTTCAAGTGATACTCTTGCAGAAAAGGCTCTGGGGGGTCCAGGTGGGCAGCAAGTTGAACATAAGCCCTTGCAGCAGAGACCACCAGTGGTAACCTGGGCAGCATTAGGAGGAGCCTTGTGAGCAGGCTCAGGGGGGTGGTGAGATGTGCCTGGTGAGTGTTTTGTTTAGTTCTAAGCTCCCCAGTATGAGAGAGATGTGGAGCTACTGTAGAGAGTCTGGCAAAGTGCCACTAAGATGATGAAGGGACTGGAGTCTCTCTCCTGTGAGGAAAGGCTGAGAGAACTGGGACTGTTCAGCCTGGGGATGAGAAGGCTTGGGCAGGGCAGGATATCAAGTATTTACATAAATTTATGGAGGGAGAGTGCAAAGATAAAGGTAAGACTCTCTTCAGTGGTGCATGATGAAAGGACAAGAGGCAGCGGGTACAAGCTGAAACACAGGGTTTTGCCTGAACATCAAGAAACACTTTACTGTGAGAGTCATGGAGACTCAGGTTGCCAAGAGAGGTGATGGAGTCTCCATCCTTGAAGCTGTCTTTTGGTTCTGGGCAGCCTGCTCTAGGTGACCCTGCTTGAGCATTTGGGGTTGGACCAGACGACCTCCAGAAGTGTCTTCTAGCCTCACCATTCTGTGACTCTGTGAAGTGTCTAATCAGGTTAAGTGACAAATAATGGGTTTTGTACATCCATTTCAGGATGCAGGGTGAGTAGAAGACCTGCCTTCTGTTTTAAGGGGTTAATCAGCTCATAACATAGCATAGCATCAGCTTGGTTGGAAAAGACCTTTATTAAGATCATCAAGTCCAACCATTCCCCAGCACTGCCAAGGCCACCACTAAACCATGTCACTAAGGGCCTCATCTACATGGTTAGTGGACGCTTCCGGGGATGGTGACTCCACCACTGCCCTGGGCAGACTGTTCCAATGCTTGACCACCCTTTGGGGAAGGAATTGTTTCTAACATCCAGTCTAACCCTCCCCTGGTGCAGCTGGAGGCCATTTTCTCTTGTCCTACCACTTGTTACTTGGAGGAAGAGACTGACCCCCACCTCACTACAACCTCCCTTCAGATAGTTGTAGAGAGTCATCATCACCTTTCTCAAACGAGGGCAGGTAAAAGGGGCAGGAGATGTTGACAGTGATGCCAGGGGTCCCATCGGGCCAGCAGGCATACATGTCGAACATCCGGTTGCAGAAAAGCCCTGCCGGGTAGGGCTCATAATTTGATCTGGTTTAAGAGTTGGAAACTAAGCTTACCATCTTTCCTCACTGCAACTCAAATGGTAAAATGCAGCAGTGTTTGCAAGTGACACTTTCATTTACTTGTTCCTCCTTGCAGTCAGCAGCAGCAGCTTGCTCTTAAAAGAAAAATATATTGGGGAAAGGCTATTTGTATTTATCTAGAGAAGATGCCTTTCCCCCCTTTCATCCTCAGTGGAGTGCTAGATGCTCAAGCGTTATTTCCACATTGAAGCTGATACAAAGGCCCAAAATTAGTTCAGTTAACTTCAAATGTGAGAGGGAGGTCTCAGTCTTGAAATGTGCTAATGATTCAAGGTGAAGATTATAAAACATCAAAGATCTATGAAGCAGCCTCTTCTGCTCTGATGCTGTAAATCCAGATTAAGGATAAAACCATGTGACACACTTTTCCTGCAGATCTGTATCTATGGGGCGATAGTCAGACACATAATCATAACTGCACCAGCAAAACCCTTTTGGGTAGGATGTGCCTTTGCTAAGAACAGCACTTTTGCTGTTGAGTTCTTCTTGCTCTGTGGAGGTGGTAAGGCTGTGACAGCACGAGAGTTTCTGCTGGGTATGTGCTAGAGGAGAGGTGGAGGTTAGTATAGGCAAATTCACACCCCTTTCCTGCTGGTGTAATGTCTTTGGGTGCCAGAGTGTAGCAAAGAGTCAAACTGAGCTATGCCATTTCCAACAGCATCACTAGTATCTGCAGGCATATCTTGCTCTTTCTTCCTTTTGAGGCCGCCTTTGAGAATAGCTACTGTGTTTCCATGTGTAACATTTACAGTTAATGATGCCTTCTGTAATCTGTACTTCTGTCCTGTTCTGTGTTCTTTTGTTCATCTGCAAGCTTTGCAGCTGGCACACTGAAGATGTAAAAGCAATTTTTTGCATTACAAACCTGGATGTTAAGGTGACGTCATCTATGCTGTAGAGCAGGCATGCTAAACAGCCAGCAAAAACTGCTGACTTCAACTGCTAAGTAGCAAAATAGTGGCATGGTAAGTCAGAAATACACCTCTGATTCATTTTGGAAGAACATCCTGTGAAATGCATGCTCTTTAAGAGAGAAAGCATAGATGAAGTTTGAAGTATGGGGAGGATGAACTCTGGGATAAATTTTTCCTTTGAGAAGCCAAGTATGGTGTATTTGGGCAAGAAAGATGAGACTCCATCTGCTTTTCTTCCTGAGCATCTGTCTCTTAATATGGAACAACTGTCTCTTGCAGGTTGAATGTACGCTTGCCTTCACTTGCCTGTTCTGGGGGCTATTTGCAGCAAAGACGGCAATATGTGGCTTTTAGCTCTGAAGCATTGTCTCCTATGAGCTGTCTCGGTAGGAACTGAGCAGTAGGTACAGGGATATTTCCTTTCCTAGGCTGTGTGTGGTGTTCTGCTGAAACCATGGCTTACTATGGTGCATTTTATTAGCAAGCCTTGCTGAATGTTATGGATACATGCTCTTAAACTGATAGCCTTACATTGCAATAGTTATGTCAGAATTAAAGGGAAATTCTTGTGTTCAGTTGCTTGAGTTCTTGTATTTTTATTGTAGACACTTAATACCATCTAACCTAAACCAGTACATAGAAATTTATATGATGAGGCTTTTCACTAGATTATGCTTATGTCTTTCCTATTGTTAAGACTCTGGGTATATGAGAATAAATTAATATTGGGAGAAAAGTTTTATTTCTTGCAATTTCCTTGGTTGTAAAACCAGCCTGTAACAGGAACCTTACTGCCTAAATTTGCATAATATTCTAAAAGAGTAAGAATTAATGTTGGCTTTAACATGAAATAAGGACTTCTGAATAACTTCACTGGGTTATTCGTTTAGGTAGAAGAGCTGCTACAAAGTTTAGAAGATTGTATTTCAAAGAAAGGACATTTACATCAAAGGCTCTTGATATATTACTGCTCAGTATAACCACATTTGAAATTAAACTGTGGAGAGCTCAATAATTCCATCACTTTTCCCCATGGAAAAAATTCAGTCTGTAAAGTAGTTCTAATAGCTGAATAGCTGTGTCTGGTGGTCTGACATGACAATAGATCATGTGTACTGCTACTTTGCCTCTCCTGGCTTGCTAAGAATGTCACCTACTGTTCTGGCTGCAGTGAAAACCAAGGCAACTATGAAAAAGCCAGGAAATGCAGACATCTGTCTTCAAGCTATAAATGTTCTGCCCTGTCCATCCCCAGCATTAGATGGTATTTTGCATTTTAAAACCTGTGCTGTTTTAAATGACTTGTACTGATTCCTGTTCCCCTACTGCATACTGATGTGCTGCTTTAGGACCAGACAAGGTACCAGTAGGGTGTAATGTACTTATCCTTTTGTTACAGTTGCTGACTGTTTGGAGAAGGGGTTAATAATACTGACTGGATGAGGAATCTGACAGTAATTAAGAATATTGCCCTCTGCTGTGGCATCCTTATAGTCACCAGTTACTGTTTGTTTTCACAGAGACCACAGCAGTTGGTGAGCCTGCTCCAGAAGAGCTCGATAATTCTACTTACAAGAACCTTCAGCATCATGAATACAACATTTATACTTTTTTTGATTCTGTTGCGGTTCTTTCCAAATTCAGGCAGCCTCAGCCATCTTCTGGAAGACCTTCACCAAGGCACTGAGAGAACCACATTTAAAACAAATGCCTAGGCGGAATGATGAATTGTTCTGTTTAGCACTGTTGCTTCATCTGTATTATAAATCAGATAATAAATAATAAATTAATGCAGGATAACTTGTGCTTTTCAACATTTCTTCTTGGTTCTCAGAGTCTGTCTCCTCTGCCTTTTATGAATGAGCTCTCAATGAATCATCACTGGATGAAAATAGCTTTGCTACCTCTCAGTATATATTACTTGGTGATAGTGTGGAAGTCCTGACATTTCAGTGTCCCCAAGCATTTGAAACTGATCATTCTTTCAGTACCATGTCAAAGAATTTAATGGCCCTTGTGCATGTGCCTGTTCAGTATGTGCCATGGTTTTAATAGGTATTGTTATCACTGTAACACAGCAGGCTGTTCTCCTTGCACACAAACGTGTTCCCAGCTCTGAAGAGGTTGTTTACTCTGGATTTGAATTTAAAATCATTGGCTAGAAACAGCATAAGAAGTATTTGTCTCCAGTGGCAAGAGTGTATGTTTTGTGTTAGTGGAGGAATGTAGTTTTGTGTAATGTTATTGAAACATCTCAAACCCTCTGCTATTGTAAAGGGAGAGTGTACAACTTTATTTAATCTTCAGATGGGGGTTCTAGTATCCAGGTTCTGCAGTAATTGAAATAACTTAGAATGTAGGAGAATCTCCTAATGAATTATACTACACTGATTAAACTCTGACAAATAACGAAATTTTAGGGGTAGAATCACTTGAACGTTATTTTTAAATGTGATGAGAATAGTATTAGGTTAAAATCAGTTCCTGGTACTAATTGTTCAGTGGGACTATGTTTCAGTTCCCACTGGTGGGTTTTTTTCCCCACAATAAAATTTAAGATTGCTGTCCAGCTTCACTCTTGCTCTGCAGAAAATGTGAGAAATGAGGCTCTTCTCAGTATATGTTATCAGCAGTTACAGTTGGTCTCGCTAAATTCTGTATTCCCATCCTATTAGTAACAGTCTTCTGCCCTCTGGGAAAACTGCCTTGATGACCTCCAGCTGTTGAGGGTTTAGTTCCATTTTGGCTTCTTGTTCATTTTGGGGTTTTTTGGAGTTAATTGGTCTTTGAGTAGTTGTACTTGCAACAGCTCCAGCGTTTTCCATCACCTGTCTGTATTCTTTCAAGCAACAGAATACACAAGATCAAAGGGAAAACCAAGTCAGCCTTTGGAGTCTATCTGGATATTGGATGCAAATCCCTGGGTGCAATTAGTAGAACAGACATTTTATACTCTAACTTGGCAAAAATGTGGTAAGAAGGATCGAGAGGCCTACATCAATCTGCTGTGTAGGATTTTAAGTCAGAAACCTCTGGCAAGCAGTTTTATTGTCCTGTAAAAACTAAAAAGTGTATTACTGACTCTAACTATGAAATTTAAAAATCGCAAATGTATAAATCCATGTGCTTAGCAATAAAGAGCAGAAAGTCTCTTTGAGACACCAGTGGTACCACATACACTGTACTTGTAAAAGGGAAAGAAATTTGCTGTTAACATTAAACACATGAAAGAATAAGGAAAAGGTTCTTCCTTTATTAAGGGCCCACCAGAGGGGCCCAGTAAAGCTGCTGTGTTTTGTTATTAACTGAGATTCTGTGTAGTAACCTGAACCCTGTAGCTTAGATCTGTGTTGGTGCTGAACCACATTCCTAACTATTTGTTTTCTGATTACAGAAGGAGGCTGCAAATTGACTGAATCTAAATAATGAAAGTTAAATGCAGTCCATTAATATGCTTATGTGTTTACTAAATCTACGCACAGTAGCTGTGGCTGTGAGTTGTTTGGAGTCAGACTTGTTCACCTAGCACCCTTTTTATTTCTAAGGAGGATTGGTGTTATAAACACTGTACTCAGCTAAGCAGGCGTGGGTTGAAACAGAAGTGTGTCTTGCTTTTATTCAACTCCTACACTCTTAGCTACATTTCCAGCTAAGGAGATGTTAATCTGTATTCAGGCTAGGCATTTTGCTACCCTTGTTTCACCATTACAGCAAAAATTCATGGTGGATGCTCTTCCTATCTGTGTGATCCTGCCTCAGCATATGCTGGTGATCTTTTCTGCACCTTTAAAACCAAGCTGGAAATCAAATAACTTCGTAACTCTTGTACATGCAGTGCATATCTTCTGTTTGTTCTGTTCAGTGAACCAGTCTGCTCTGGGAAGGGCAGATAATGTGAGGAAGGGCACCAAGACTTTTTCCCACTGTTGTGTTTTCCTGGTCTTCAATGAAAAAGGCTTCTTTTTTCTTTTTTTCTTTGCACTTGGCTGTTATCAGATGTTATTGTGTTTGAGTTCCATGCTGGCATTTAAGTTTCAAGCAGGATGTGATACAATGTGCTCAAATTCTGTAACGTTAGTAACTTTGTCTTGCTGCGCTAGGCACTTGTCACATACAGTCAGGGACCACCTTGTTTTAAAGAATGCATAATCCAGGATATTCACATAATACCTGGAAAACCTCAAATGTGAAAGAAATTAAGTCTCATCTTAGTTTCTGTGAAAACCAGATCTTGAGAACCAGCATAAAATTCAGAAGTGGGGTTTTCAATGTAAATAGTGTAAATAGCATGTTACTGGTGGAGTAGATAAAAATCTGGAAAGTGGAATCAGTAACTTCTCATTAAAAAGATTAAGCAACTACTTTTCTTGTCATAGGGAGTGGTTTTCAAATTTTAGGTCCTTTGATTTATTTTGTTTTTAGGGTAGCCAATTGCTTATGAAATCACTTTTCATAGCTTACTTCCACTTAGATCTTTCAAAAGTAACTTAGGAGCTCAGAAGGTTCTGGACTGCAGTTGAAAACCCACTAATCCAAGGTCCAGAAGGACTAATGCAGGCAGAGTTTGGTGGTCACTTTAGTTATTACAAGGCCAAAATGTTTTTTGGTCCTCCTTCGTGCTTCCTTTCATGCATCCAGTCATGATCAGCACTGCAATCTATAAGGCTATCTTCAAGTTTCATTTTAAATTTGGGAAAATAAAACTTCTAACTGGGTGCACTTACAGATCTTGCACAGTATGTTCTCAGCTTTCAACAATAAAAATGCATTCAGTGCATCTCTGGTTTCCTGGTTGCTATATGCACATAAGCTATAAATGAACATAAGATATAAACCCCTCCCCTTACCCTCTTCTCCCACCACAAAAGATGCCATCATCTAAGCTACTTGGACAATTATGTTGAGCCTGCTACTAAAGTGTAATGAAAAAAATGGCAAGCAGTTTTAAGGCCGTCTCGGGATGACACGCAGTTCTTCCTTCAGCTACTCATGGTAATGAGAACGTGAGCTGAGAACAGTCACCAGACTGCCCAAGATCTGTCGAAGAGGAGGGCTTCTCAGCTTTATGCCAGTCAGAATCCCACCACTCATAAAGTGCTTTGGTGAGATTTTGTGATCTTGCAGTGTTTGGGAGGAAGGGTAGGAAAAGCTAGTGGAAGCAGCCGTTGTCTGTTCCAGGCAGTTTGAATTCCTGGTGGGTCCAACCAACGACTTGTGCAGTGTGAGTGAGAGTAGAAAGCATGCCTGCAGTATCCTGTGGCATCATAACATTAGGATCACGCAAACTGACTTTGGAAGGGAAGTCTTGAGATGATTGGTGCTCTGCCCCATAGAACATGCAATTAGATTGGGTTGCCTTGGACCTTGTGCAGTTGAGTTTTGAATACCTTCAAGGATGGAGACCTTACAATCTCTCTGGTCACCTCCTCAAGCACTTGAACACCCTCATGATTTAAAAAACCAAACAGACAAAAAACACAGCAAGTAAAACCTTTCCCTGTTACCTAATTGGAATTTTTGGTTTTCTGACACTGATCCTTACTACACATCTCTGACAAGCCTGGCTTTATCTTCTCTATACTCTCCAAAGAGGTAGTTGAAGGTAGTAGAAAGGTCCCCCTTATTCTCTTCTTCAGCCCAGATAACCTCTGTTCTTTCATGCTCATCTTGTCATCATCCAGGCCCATTTGCATCTTTGTATGTCGCAGTGCACCCTCACTACATCCTACTGTGCTCTGTAGTGACGCAGGTTGCTGAAGTCGTCTCTGAGTGTCTTCCTCACGTAGCTTATGCTTTAAGGTATAACATGCTAGAAGAGGCCTTATGTTAATTTTCCTAATTTTTACCCTGGAATCTTCCATAATGTTTGGGGTGGGTTCTGGGAGATTCCTGTTCCTCAAGGTGCTATGCAGCAACAGTAGTGTGGGGCAGGTTCAGGTCCCCACCATCCTGCTGTAAAAACAAACAGAAAAATCTTGAAATTGTTCTTGACCCAAGTATTTGCTATCTGCCTGTGATATGCAGCCCTTCTATTCTGTATTGTATGCTGCTGTTTGCATACAGAGTTAGACAAAAGCAGCTAATACAATAAGGGTAATAGAGGCACTTTAGTACAGATCCTTCAAACATCAGAGTGATTGACTTTGCAACTGTGGTGTACTTGTATAAAAGCTTTGTTTCTTTATTTGTTCTGATTATATCCCTTTATAGAAACTCCTCTAAACTCTGGATAATTTTAAGTGGACTTTTAGGACTCTAAACAAAATAGCTTGTCAAGTTTCCAAATCATCCTTCTCCTCTCATATGGTTCTATTTCATGGAATTATAAACACCCATTTTTCTTTTCTATGATTCCATGGTTTCGGTACTCACGTATTATTCCTAGTGTTCATCTCAGGATGGTACCACTCCCAATACAATCTGCACATATTTATAAGCTCCCTTTTTGGTTTTGATTTTTTTATTTTTTTGCCTAATCACATTCAGTTGCAGTCAGAAATTCATACCCACCTCAGAAAGTCTTAGGATATGTTTCCCAGACTCCCCCACAGTGTCCCTAACAGTGAGCTATATTCCATTGTTTGAGGACTGGGACAAACATGATGGGAGCTGGAAAGAAATTCAGAATATAGAAACCAGAAGGATAATGTAGGAACTGAGAGCAAGGATGGTCCTTATGACTCAGAT